TGAGTCACACACACAATCACAAAACTCTCCAACAGCGTGAAAAAGACGTTTATTCGAAATAATAATTGAGAAGATTTTTATTGCTTCAGATAAATGATTTGGAATTAGCTGCCTTCTCTGAGCTGGTTGGTTTTGGAATATACCCACAAATTAATAAACAACATTATCGAAGACATTAATCTGACAGGAAAAGAAGAATTAGACAACAAAATTCCCTTCTTAGATGTCTAACTTAATCAAGCGAAGTAACACAGGAAATTTAGAGACACAATCAACACACATAGATCATATAGTAGCAATAACCCAATTACCCACAAAAGAAACTCTGGGTAGACATTGCTTAAGAGAATTTAAACACACTGTAGCACTACTCCAGTATTGAAGAGAATGGAAGAAAAATACCTACAAACGGTCTTCAAAAAGAATGGTTATCCACAAAATTTCATCAAAAAGTACTTAAAATCGAGTTATAACACCAACAAAGAGCCATCATCGAAGACCACAAGAAAATTCATCCTACCATACATGAGAAATATCTCTGAAATAACAGCTAGAATACTGAAAGCGTTTGATAAAGATATAGCACACAAGCCAGTCAAATCGCTTAATTCGATATTATGCAGACCGAAAGATCCAACAGAAAAAGGGGATAAAATTAATACCATTTACAAAATAAATTGTATGATCTGTAATAGGCATTACATCGGCCAAAGTGGACATCCCCTTCAAATCAGAATCCAGGAACACAAATCAGCCGTGAAAAGACACGACATATATTCTTTCATATCACTACATGTAGACAATTATGGACATCAGTTTGATTGGGATAATGTCAAGATCTTAGACAGAGGAAACACCAAAAGTGTAGTCAGGGAATTCCAAGGAGTCTGGTACTCAAACGAATATGCAATTAACAAACACGTTAATGTAGGCCAAATATACCAACTAATAAAAAGTAGATCATGTGACGAGAAAGTTCAATAGAAAATGATCAATACATATGTAAAGATGGTTACCAGGAGACGCAATTCTATCACTCATGAAGAAATTTAAATCATTTCACTTTATGCTAAATATTGCGCTGAAGATGTTGTCCGGAAGGACGACGAAAGCTCCGCAACTAAACCAACCAGCTGAGAGAACACTATCAATTGCAAACGATCTAATCACAATATTGTTACTTATTTGGATGTTCCAACTAATTTCGTAATTATTAACAGTTATTCTCATAGACTATGTCGTTATTCTGACTTGACCCTTATTATAAACATATATATACTATAATTTTAATGATTCTCTTTGTGGTTGTGTGATAAATTGATAATGTGTTGTTCTACAATGTGATTTTGTTTGAGTGAATGAAGGTCAGTGTGATCTTGGACTGTCTGTGGGAAGCATTTGGTGTGTGTGATTCTTGTGGACAGAATCTTTGATCCCACTGTGCTGTTGGGTATATTCTACTTGATTTTGAGGTACTTCGTATAGTTGAATTTCAGTTAACTAAGTTTGTTCTACAGTAATTGTTTTGTGCTGGGAAAATCAGTTGAAATGTTTAGCTGTCTAGCGCCACTGTTGAGGTAATTTTGAATTTTTGATATTGTCAGTGGTGAGTAGAAACACGCATCCATTTTACGGCGAATGCAAGTCCTTAGAATTAGTTGTCTTCTCTCAGCTGGTTGGTTTAAGTGCGAAGCTCTTCCGTCGGCCTTCTGGACAATATCTTCAGCGCAAATTTTTAGCATTAAATGAACTGATTTAAATTCTTCATGAATGATACAATTGTGTCTCCTGGCAGCAACCATCTTCGTGACTGGTAGTCAATTTACATCTGTACCGTCTAGTGATTTACTTTTTATTAGTTGGTAAATTTGGTCAATATTAATATATTTGTTAATCGCTAGCTGATTCACTCGAGTACCAGACTTCTAGAAATTCCCTGGCAGTATTTTTGGTGTTTCCTCTGTCTAAGATCTTGACATTATCCCAATCACCTAATTGGTGTCCATAATTATCTACATGCATTGATATGAAAGAATATATATCATGTTCCTGGATTCTGATTCAAAGGGGACGACCACTTTGACTGATGTAATGTCTGTTACAGTTCATACAATTTATATTTTGTAAATGGTATTAATGTTATCTCCTTTTTCTGTTGGATCTTTTGGTTTGCACAATATCGAATTAAGTGATTTGACTGGCTTGTATGCTACATCTATTTCAAACGGTTTTAGTATTCCAGCTGTTATTTCAGAGATATTTCTCATGTATGGTAGGATGAATTTTCTTGTGATCTTTGATGATGGCTGTTTGTTGGTGTTATAACTCGATTTTAAGTACTTTTTGATGAAATTTTGTGGATAACCATTCTTTTTGAAGACCGTTTGTAGGTATTTTTCTTCCATTCTCTTCAATACTGGAGTAGTGCTACAGTGTGTTTCAATTCTGTTAAGCAATGTCTGGCCACAGTTTCTTTTGTGGGTAATTGGATTATTGCTAGTATAGTTGAGTATTTGGTCTGAGTGTGCGTTGATTGTCTATGTACTAGTGTTTCTAAATCTCTTGTGTTGGTTCTCCTGATTAAGACATCTAAGAATGGAATTTTGTTATCTAATTCTTCTTCTCTTGTGAATTTGATGTCTTCGAATGTGTTGTTTATTAATTTTTGAGTATATTCTAAATGATTTCTCTTAATTGTCACAAATGTATTGTCAACGTAACGTATCCAGATTTTCGGTTTAATTATAGGTAGAGCTATTAATTCTAATCTTTGCATAACGGCTTCAGCTATTAATCCTGATATGGGCATTTCCATTGGATTAAATCGTTCATAGGAGGGATTTGTCAAACAAATATTCTGTTTTACAAATATCATACCTAGTGGGCAAGGAGCATGAGTTAGGTGAAAAATAATAAGGAAGAATTTAAAGATTTTCGATGTACACTATTGGCTTATACTTCTCAATCTGTCTAGCCATTGAGTCTTAAAACCTACGCAGCCCCTACGCTTACACATACATACCTGCCTCAAACTTTAACATATTAATGAATGGTTGTCGTCATGATTTCTACTGATATTTATTGAACTTTATCAAACTTTATCAGGTGGATGATACCCTGACTTGAAACCTCATTCACATAGGTCTATGAGGATTTACTACATGAGGGGAGGGAGAGAGGGCGAGAGAGAGAGACTAATCTATATTCCTTACTTAATATTATATCTAATATCAACATCAATTAAAAAGCAACACCCGGTCACATAGATCGACCGCCAAATGAACAAGAAGGAGTAAAACAGGCTCACATCATTTTCTTCTTTTATCCAGTCAGCCTTTTGAGCTGTGGTGTACAAAAGTGCAGCGGTTCAAGTTGCCACACACACACACACACACTTCTCAAAGCACTCATAAAAAGAGAGAAAAAGGAAATGCGAAGAAGCTACCATAAAACGGAAATTTATGGGAAAGGGCAGTGAGAATTTAATGCATCTAGAAGTTCACATTGAAGAGGGTTTCGAGACATGCCACAACAGTCTCTCTAACCACTTATCCTACCGTCTCTGAAGGACTTGATTCATGTAGTCCATACTTTCAAACATAGCTCAAACCCCAACGGTCAATGACTTCATGAATTCATGTCATGTCTCATTCAATTGAACCCGTCTTTTTCAACCCTACGTTATACCAACCAGCCTACAGAAGGCATTACGGTAAATTGAAGTAATGTGTGCATTTGTGCCCTTTGTGTACATCCCTAGACCTTTGCACACACGTGTAGCGGTTCCACTTGCCACTCTCTCTTTCTCTCAATGTAACACACAAAGTAAGAGAAGAGAGTAGAGAAAGATTCAAAACAGAGATAATAAACAGAAATATGAAGCAAAAAAAAAAACAGTAATGCAGAAGAACAATAGAATTTTATTGGATATGAGAAATCACAAAGATTAAATGCATCTACTCTAGTTATTGAAAACGATTTTGAGCCAGCCATATCACAAATTGTCTCCGGTTGTTATTGGTTCTTACCATTCCGAGGAACCCAACCAATCAGGAAATCTACACCTCCATACGTGGCTGGCTTAAACTAACTGTTATAGATTTCATTGACTGACGGCACGTTTTCGTTTGACCATCACTGGCTCTTCTCCAACCTAATACAATGTCAGCTAACATCACCCGTCGAGCAAAGCGATGGCTTAGCATGCGCAACATATGTCCTTACTATCTCAGTCGGTGTTACTTCACAACCTCGTCAATTGATTACCCCTCTTTGCCTAGCACTCGACTCCTAACCTGAATATTGCTCATCCTCTTGTACCGCCTAACACACACGAGAGATAGAACGCAAACACCTATGATCAAAAACAGCTAGCTAGCCTTTTCGTGTCTCCCACTTTCAATGGCCATGTCCTGCTCACAGCCATGAAGGAGGACGGAGCAAATTGCTGCTCAGCAGTACACACACCCTTTGGTCGACAGCCGGATATCATCCTTAAACATAGTTGGATATGTTTGTTCATCGTAGGTTGTTTTTATTTCTGCCAGCTTTCCATATCCATATTGGAGGTCAAATTGCCGGCCAGAAAGAATTAGGAACAAGAAACTCTGGCTGGGAACAAAACGATCAAGAGGCCTATTGTTCAACCAATATGCAGAAGAAGGTGCATATAGATTAGGCATGCGCTAAGGAGAGACTTTTGAGTGATATCGCACACTAGGCTATCTCTCGAATGGAAGCTGAACGAGAAACAACGAGATGGGCATTGGTTCGAGGGGGACAGACTACAGACAACTGTGTGTGGTCAGCTCTAAAGAGGATGGAAGAGAACAGGAATAAGTGGAGATGTGCTGTTGAAGGTCTATATATTCCACTTGGAACCCAAGATATCCTTAATTCAGTTTATGGTGAAATTGACGAGTTTTAATATAATGTCTGTAAACCACATATTTTATGTATAAACTTGTTCACTAATATTTTTCTTCTCTTCTCTTTTACAGCCTGGTTGGGAGGAACGTGTACATAGTAATGGTCGCATCTTTTACATTAACCACAGTAAGCTTTTATCTGTATTTACAGTTTCTATATATATTATGGCTGCACACACATTATTACTACCATTATTATTAGTAATCACTATTACTATCATTACTATTTTTCTTTACTAATTAGTGTCCACCTATAGTAGGTAGGTAGGTAGGTAGGCAAGTAGGCAAGTAGGTGGGTAGCAGTATATTTTCCTGTTACTATCTGCGTTTCTGTGTTGTAGAAACACACACACACTCACAGTTTATATCATTGTACAAGTGCATCTGTGCTGCTTCACAGATGCGTTTGTGTTTTGTTTAACCATTGACTAATTATGTAATGATAGTCTTATGTTTTTATTACTCTTACACGCCGCCCACCTTTTATGCGCCTGTCACTTCCTAGAAAGTGTACATCATTTTAGGTATTCTGATATGCGCTGAAGTATAATTATATTATTATTATTATTAATTATTTATTATTATTATTATTTAGCCCCTTGTCCCTTTTTACACTTGTTCCTCCTATCACTTGCTCTTTTGTGTGTGTGTGTGTGGTAAAGTACCTTTTTAAAGAAATACTTATCTGATGATATAAGATGGTTGGAGGCAATCAGCAGGAAGCCTTGGACCTAGGTTTCGTGCTAGTTGGCACTCACCAGTCAGCAGGGCGTATCTGCAACCTTGAAGGAACTGATGTCCCTTCTGAGATTCGAACCCACGTCATCCAGTGCTGCAGTCAGAGACGTTACTACTGAGCTATTCGGGCTCGCGACTGACCTCCTGTAGGACTGTATTGGATATTTTTGATTGAACACTAGTCAGAAACTAGCGTAATGTGTCTAGTCCTATCTTCGGTGCAGACTGAATTCTATCAGTCATGTTTGCAATGTGGACACCATTCTAGGTGGCTCGCCATTACGGTGCACTGTGAATTGTTGGTACTAGATGGTTGGAGGCAATCGGCAGGAAGCCTTGGACCTAGGTTTCGTGCTAGTTGGCACTCACCAGTCAGCAGGGCGTATCTGCAACCTTGAAGGAACTGATGTCCCTTCTGAGATTCGAACCCACGTCACCCAGTGCTGCAGTCAGAGACGTTACCACTGAGCTATTCGGGCTCGCGATTGACCTTCTGTAGGACTGTAGTGGATATTTTTGATTTGACACTAGTAACTAGTGTGATGCGTCTAGTCCTCTCTCAGAAGGGACATGAGTTCCTTCAAGGTTGCAGATACGCCCTGCTGACTGGTGAGTGCCAACTAGCACGAAACCTAGGTCCAAGGTTTCCTGCCGATTGCCTCCAACCATCTAATATCATCGCAAACAATGTACACCGTGATGGCGAGCTACCTAGAATGGTGGCCACGTTACAACCTGACTGATAGAATTCAGTCTGCACCAAAGAGAGGACTAGACGCATCACACTAGTTACTAGTGTCAAATCAAAAAATACTTATCTATATAATATGAGTATAAAAATTGGGCACTGTGGAGGAGCATAACTCCATCATGGATAAGATTTTATTTCGATAAATCACACAGTGGTGTTATACAGTAATATTGAAGTATGCACTGGCGATGTTGCCAAGTAGGACAACGATGAAAGCTTCGCAAATAAACCATCCAGCTGAGAGAACACAACTTCATCAAAATCATCCACCTGAGCTATAAATCTTCTCCATCATGTACACCTAATGATCAGTTCATTACCAAAACGGCTGGGTGGAATGGCGATCAAGGCATTTCAGAGGGCATAATATTTGATTGAACATGAGACAGTCGGCTACAGATAATGACTGACGCCCTAATCATCCAGAATAACACATTCATAAGTTGGCTGTACGCCTGGAATGTCAAGTTGTAAATTCTTTTGTGTGCATTGGTGGCACAGCGGTTATGACTCTCGCCGACCATGCACATGATCTGGGGTTCGATCCCCTGCCGACGAACACCTGATATCTGATATGGTCGGCCTGCAAAATTTGGGCTACCGATATCACATGCTGAAAATTGCACACATGTACCAAAAAATACAGTGTAGAATCAAGCTGTAATCAAAAATTTTAAAAAAGTGTTATGTTATGTTCAGGAGATATAATTAGGTAAGGTTAATCGGTAATCAATATGAGAAACACCAGGTCTCTCTTATGCTAGTAGTGTGAATACTTGTACTTCAGCCTAAGTTGTTGTTACGTGACTGATAACAGTTTTAAGACATAAAAATATCTAGGCGTCTTATGTGAACTTGAATTCGGACATTTAAAAAAAATTTTTATTTGATTATTTGATGAATAATAATAATCCTGGCAACATGTTTTATTGTGTCTCTCTTGTACCTTTCTGGTGATTGATGATTCAATAATTAGTGTTACATCGATGAGGGTTTACAGGCAAATATTTCTCTGAATGATGGATGGCACTTACAGGATGAAATGAATTCGTTTTATTTTATTTTGCACGATTCTCATCAGCTACAGACAATGTGCATAACAAATTACATAAGTTTGCTGTGTGACATAATTTTTGGATGAACAACAAAATGTGAATGAATTTCATCATTATATATATAAATATAAAATAACCAGATAGGGAGTACTGGACAATAGTTTCATCAGCCTAGTTTTGGACTCTTCAGCAGTACGTATCCACCACCGTGGCGTCCAAACGCCGGGACCTTTCGGTTACAAGGCAAGCTCGTAGATCATTTATAGCCACTGGGCCAATTCACAATGTCACCTCATGATGAAATCATGTAACCAATCAAATCCGTGCAAATCGACACTTGAAGAAATATCTAATGCTCACCAGCGACTGGCCTTATCCAGGTAAGCAGTGAGTTACCTGGGTTCTAGTGGGAAGTCGTGACCAGTGAGGCATAGCCGGTTGGGTGTGAGGACAAATACTTGCCAGTAATGATATTGGCTAGTGATCGCGCTATATTGTGAATTATCGGAAGTTGGAACTTATGGACTGACTGGCCATTAGGCTGGGTCCCAGTAGCTGCATGGTCTTCGAGCTATTCTTGTGGGTGCATACCGCTAAAGAGTCCCAAGCTAGGCTGAAGAAACATATGTCCAGTACTCCTTGAAGGTTTCCCAGGGGTTCTCTAAATTATGTCAGCTAGCAATCAAACTGTACCAAATGTGGCTCATTGGTGTAAGAACTTGACATCTAGGTCATAGGTCCTTACCGTTGAAGAGTAGCAAACGAGGACGTAACAACCCCCAAGTGCTCCTTGGTTTCCTGTGGTTCTCTAACTGGTGTCATCTTGAAATCTGTCCTCAGGATGTGATTCAAGTTTAAGAAGTTTGGCAGTTGTTCGTTTTTCTAATGTAGCATATAAAGGTGATTCTCCCTCTACCTGTGCTTACTGTAGCTGGTATCCCTCAGGGTGGTGGTGTTCCCTCTCCTTTTCTTTTTTCCTTTTTCTTACATGACTTACCTCATTCGAATGAAATAAACTTTGTATAATACGCTGGTGATCTGACTGTCATGCTGCCAGTTTTGTCGCAATCTGACTGACTGTTCCAAACTGAATAGCTTTTTCTCAGACATCTTAGCTTAAATCTGTTTGAATGTCAAACAGTTGACTTCATCTTAGGGTACTAACGTTATCTACAGACACTGGTTCGTCTAAATGATGCTTACAGCGTAGAAGACACTAAAATAGAAAATAAATCAAGCGCATTAAATACTTCGGAATAGTTCTATCCTTTCACCATTCTTGGTCATCCCACAACTTGTCGATTTCTAAGAAAATGTTCTGTCTGACCTACTACTTTGAGAAATGTTAAGACAATCTGGAATCACTCAACCTCCACTTTTACAGTTTCTTAACGCTCCCATTTTTCTTACTGTTCTTTACTGTTCCTCAGAATAACTCCCTCCACAAGGTCAGTTGAATTGGTAGATACAATTGGAAGTGGCTAGTCTTAGGTACTTCGTCTCTCAATCTAGGAGTCACCGTCGGCCGTGTAGGAAATATGACTTGTAGTTTCCCAATATTAAAAGTTCTTTAAACTGATTTTCTTAATTTCTTCGTAATTATTTCGCTTGGTAAATCGCCGTTGAATTGCAGTCATATGTATAAAGGCTTCTTTTTTACGGATAGTGAATTGTATTTTTCAACTTTCCTAGTCATATGTTTCCCGATGAATTTGTCTAGATACCTATTTTCGATCAAGGTATCATATGCAATGCTTAATTCATCTTCAATGACTTCTTCTGAGTGTATAGCTGTAACTGTGTTCCTGAGGGTCTTTACTAAATTTCTTTTGTACTTGATAGGAACGAAGCTGTGAAAATGTGTGTATATTATCCTATCCAAGTCTTTTTTCTATGCAAATTTCTTCTTATGCTACCATCTGGTCTTCTTGTAAGTAGGACATCCAGGAAGGCAATTCATTCTAGATATAATAGAGAAGATTTGTAGCTCAGGTGGATGATTTTGGTGTGGTTGTGTTCTCTGAGCTGGATGGTTTGGTTGCGAAGCTTTCATTGCTCTACTGAGCAACATCTTCAGCGCATACTTCGATGTGAAGTGAGCTTTTAGAATTCTCTATGAGTTTATTAGTCATCTCTTCTAGTAACTCTGAACGTGATTGGTTGTTTTCGTGTGACATTTCACCTCCTAGTTTGCTTGTCTCGGTGCTGGCTGCTTCTTTGGTCTGAATGTCGTTAGTCATTCCTTCTGCTAACCTTGAACGTGATTGTTTGTTTTTGTGTGACTTCTCACTTTCTAGTTCACTTGTTTTGGTGTTGACTGTTTCCTTGACCTGAAGTTTGACTTTGTTTTTGTGTGAATTTCTTCGTATGGATTGGTATATTTTGTCAATCTCTATGTGTCTATTGGTTGCTGATTCATTTGAATACCAGGCCTCTAGGAATTCTCTGGCATTTTTGCAGTTCCCTTTGTTTAAGATTTGAACATTATCCCAGTTGAATTGGTGCCCGTGGTTGTCTGCATGTAGTGATATGAGGGAGTGTATGTCATGTCTTTGGACAGCTAGTTTGTGTTCGTGAATGCGA